GCTCCTTCCTGCCCCACGCTTCCGGCTCAGCCATGGGGCCAACAGGATGAGACCATTCCCACGAGGCCACAGCCTGGCGTAGGGAGAACAGGGTGATGTGGGACTGGCATGAGGGTGGCCCGGACCCCTGGGCGGTGCTGGCTGCTGGGAGTCCCTGGGGAGACGGTTGGGGGCTATTTCATGGAGAGCCAGCTCGGTTCGGGCCATTGTTGCAGCTGCTGTGGGCTCGCAGCCCCCCACCCCAGCGATGCCCTCTGCCCCCCGATGCCATGGACACTGTGTGCCTGCCGTCCTGCCTACAGCTGGTCCCTGCCATCCCAGGGTGGACGGAGAAGAACAGTGAATTCCTCCCCCTCCCCCCGCTCAGCCTCCGTAATCCCCTTCCCGCTCCGAATCACCAGCTTATTTCCTGGCTAATTCCCCAAGCTATAAATACTGCTCTGCCTCAAAGGGCCCTGAGGCCCCATGGCCACCCCACAGGGCAGGGCCTGGTCCCCCTAGCATGGGGGCAAGAGCCTTTGTCCCTCCTGGGAGTAAAGGATGTTACTTAGTGGGGCAGCTGCTATGTGGCCAGCAGGACCTTGGGCAGGGCTAGCTTTAGCCAAGTTCCCCCTGGCTGCATTGGGGACTGTCCTGTGCTGAACAGGGTGGTCCCTTGGACAGCGCTGTGCATGGTGTGAAGATTCCCCGGGAACCTGTGGAAGTGGGGGGCTCAGGGCCAAGGGGGAGCCAATCCCTTGGCTGAGTATCCCCCTTCCTCCCCAGGCCGCAATGAGCCCCTGAAGAAGGATCGTCCCAAGTGGAAGAGTGACTACCCCATGACAGATGGGCAGCTGCGCAGCAAGCGAGATGAGTTTTGGGACACAGCACCTGCATTCGAGGGCCGTAAAGAGATTTGGGATGCCCTGAAGGCAGCTGCCTACGCCGTGGAGGCCAACGACCACAGCCTGGCCCAGGCCATCCTCGATGGAGCCAGTATCACCCTGCCCCATGGTGAGGGACGGTACTGGGGTTGTGGGTGGGGTGGGTACTGAGTGCCCCATATCTGGGCCCATGGAGGTCTCAGGTTGGAGAGGAGGACCCAGCTGCCATCTACACAGCTCAGCCCAGCTGATGGGGGACAAGGCAGGCTCTGCCCCACTGCCTGGGGTGGCCCTGTCCGCATTTGGGTGGTCCATGGGGATGCCCACCCACAGCATCTCACCTTGCCGTCCCTAGGGTCCCTGACGGAGTGCTATGATGAACTGGGCAACCGGTACCAGCTGCCCGTCTACTGCCTGGCACCTCCTGTCAACCTGATCCTGGAGCGGAGCGAGGAGGAGGCAGTGGAGCCAGCTGAGCCACTGCCCAATGCCCGGCGGGAGTTTGCCCTCAAGGTGCGGCTCTCCACCGGCAAGGACCTGCGGCTCAGCGCCAGCATGGGTGACACCATCGGGCAGCTGAAGAAGCAGCTGCAGGTGCAGGAGGGCATTGACCTGGCCTGGCAGCGCTGGTTCTTCTCAGGCAAGCTGCTCACTGACCGCACGCGGCTGCAGGAGACCAAGATCCAGAAGGATTTTGTTGTGCAAGTGATCGTCAACCAGCCCCTGCCACCCAGGAACTGAGCCACCCCCGCACTGGTAGCGGGGAGAGGGCAGGGAGCTGGGGGGCAGTGGCACCTCTGGAGATGCCCCATGCCGTGTCCCAGCCCTGCTGAGGCAGACCCTGCTCCCTCCGAGGCTGCCCCTGACCCGAGTGACCCCCCAGGAAGGTCTGCGTGAAGCTGTGCCGCCGTGGTGGCCCCTCTTGGCTGGGGACACGGACACATGCCGCATTTGCTGCAGGAGGGTCGAGACCAAATGTGTCTGGGGCAGTCAGCATGGCCAGAGCCCCACTGCTGGGCTATGCCGGCAGGGAGAGGCTGTGATCCCCTGGGCTCTGGCTCCCCTGGCCAGGAGGCCCTGGGGTACTGGGCTGGGTGGAGATGTCTCCCCTTTGTACATAGTCTGTATTTATCAATAAAATCTTTTCATCCTTCCTCTGGCCTCTGGGGCAGGTGGGGGGGGCTGTCACCTGCAGCAACAGGAGGTCCCCATGCCTGTCCTACGTCTGCTCCCGTGTTAAGATGGGCACAGGGTGGCCAGGGAGAGCCTGAGTGCCCTAGCTCTGCTCCCCAGTGCCGCCCTGACCCTGTCGGGCCGGAACTGGCTCTTTACCTGTCTGGGCCCTTCCTCAGTGCTGCTGGCATCGTCCCGTTGCCCTCCTGGCTAATTGTCAGCGTGGGGCTACTGCCTTCCTTTCCCAATGCTTCCCTTCTGGAGGTTTTGGCCCATGTTTGCCCTGTTGCCAGGCAGGACAGTCCACAGAGGGACATGGTTGCAGGACGACCTTCACAGCCACCAGCACCTGTCCTGGTGAAAACAGTGCCTTTCTGCAGCCGGAGGCTGTGGCTCTCATGGGACAGGGCACCCGAGGGTGGCCCTGGGAACTGCCCAGGAGTGTGACAGTGATGTGTCCCCATCTGTCCTTCCCCCAGGTGTTGTGCTGGGGATGGTGCCTAGCGCATTAACTGTCCCGACACAGAGCAGCGCCGGCCTCATCTTACAAAGGGGGAGAGCAAAGCTCGAGGGACTGAACAATGTCCCTGCTGCCGGGAATAGCTGCTGGCTCTGCCTCCTGGTGCCCCACGTGAGGCCAGTCCTGCTGCCAGGCTGCCTGTGCATGGCAGGGAGGGCCAGGCAGCCACCGGGACCCTGGCAGGGCTGCTTGGGACATTCTGCACCTGAGGTCATCCTCCAAAGCGGTGCAGAAGGGCCGTGGCTCCCGACATCACGTGCTGCCTGGTGCTGGCTGAGAGGTTTGGGGGGGCCCCATAACTTCTCTTTGGGATGGGCAGCAACCTCCTCTGGGTGCCAAAAGCCTCGGGTGATTCCAGTGGATGACAGGGGGATGGGGTGATGGGAGCCATGAGGAGCATCCTGGCTGCGCAGGGTGGGTGGCATGGGCACAGGACCCATGGGGTGACCCCAGACCGTGTCTGTGCTCCACTGAGCTTCTCTGGACTGGCTGCCGCAAGGCTGTGCGCACCCCAGCTCCCCGCACCCAGCACAGGGGTCCCAGGCAGCCTGGGAGGGGGGAGTGGGGGGTCTCTTCTTTAAGAGGGTGCGGGGCCAGGGAGGTGAGCCAGGGCCGCCAGAAAGCAGGAGAGTGAGCTCATGGCAAAGCTGCCCCAGTCATGTGGAGCGGCCACAGCTGTCAATGCCCTTGGGCCGCCGGACGGAGGGGCCGACGGCATAAAGGC